CTTATAACATCAAACATTAGCCAAGTGACACGAATGCTGGCCGACTTTGATAGAGCCTGTAGAAAGATTGGTCTTCGACAAAATCTCACAGAAACGATGTCCATGAGGAACGGATTGGTTTCGTATGCCCCATTCACGCTCAGCGGAACCAATATCTCTTAGTGCTCCAGTAACGTCTATCCAGGTCGAAAATCAACATGTTGAGCGACTTATCTCCAGAGTTGAGCAGAAGGAAGCGAACGGCTTGAGGAGCTTTCAAGAGCATCGAGAATGTAATGAGGAGAACAAAGAACACCTGCAGTGCCCATCTTTTCGACTGAACGGTACTTCCTGCGCTAACTTTTGGGTCAGAAACCTGGTCGCTACGTAAACAGAGTGAAAAATCACTCAACGTTATTGAACGTGCAGTCGAAAGAACGATGCTAGGAGGACCCGGTTTCACACAAGCAAGGGATGGGATCCGAAGCTCCGACCTGCGTCAACGATCAAAAATCAATGATGCTGTTTTCTGTGCCAAACAGTCGAGCATAAGGTGCACTGAACACATAATGCGTATGAAGGACAACCGATGAACAAGAGCCATTAGTGACTGGATTTCTCTGGGTGTTAAATGCACTGCAAAAAGACCACCGACACGATGGTCAGGGCTGTTCACGTAAGGCATAGAGGAAAGATATGATGCTCAGCGAGTCCCTAGAGCGAGCAGAACCAACTGGGCTACTCTTGAATGCGACAGAGAAAAATTAAAGAATTGCTGCCGCCCGCTAGAGTCACTCGACGATCAGCGTGACTACAGATGATACAGGTGATGGGCTACTGGGCTGGGTGCTATATTTCTTCTTGATCAGTGTACTACAAGAAAAAGATAATGAAAATGGCTACGTAATACTCGTGAAATGCTGGTGAAAGTACGCGAAATAAGACGATGAAGCTAATTTTGGTGATATGGAGGGCCGAATTGTTGAAAGACTATCCACATCGACGTGTACTGTTCAAGATGTACAAGGACGCTCTTAACGCTTTCCATAAAAATCTTTGAGTGCAGTTGGAAATTTTGAAAAATTTCGACGAAAGTAAAAGGCTTGGACATAGCTGTCCAATTTTTCTCTTATACCTGGCTGACATATGTTTCGAACCGCTGGCAGCGTGTGCACAGATAGAGTTCAGAGGGAAGAATACTCGAAACTGGCGCGCCAAACAGCCATTTCATATGGCCACGAAACTGTAGCTTCTCGGCATAGGCATAGAGGAAGACCCACACCCCAGAGCGATAATTCTAGCGAAAACAAGGCTCCGTTCCTCTTGCTCTTCATTTCAAACGAAATAAGTGCTGCAGGGCAGGTCTAGAGAATTCCGTAAGAGTGACAGAAATACTATCAGACACTCTAAGACGCCAGCTAGTTCGCAACCACCTATATGACCGTCTATGTATGACGAAAAACTGCATAATTTGTACTAACGGTAGAGACGGTGATTGCATGAGTTCGGGTACAGTCTATCTGATCTCTTGTAAAGCGTGCGGAGGCGAATACGTTGGCAAAACGGGTAGCCCGCTCTGCGTCCGCATAAAAGAACACCTAGTCGGTAAATCTAAATTAAAACCAAACACTCCACTAGGCGCCCACAGGATACACGAACACAACGGAGATTTCGAAGTAGGAGTCACTATCCCCACGCAGGAATTGAAAACACCAGCGCGTAAAACTCTTGAAGCGTTTTGGATCAATTCCAAAAATTCAAAAATGAACCGCAAGAAGGAGTGTCTTGTCATCACGCGTGACCTGGCGCCATACCTCAGGCTGATCCAATGACCTGACGCAGACACAGTTTTCGCCCATGTATTGCTCTGTGCGGCTGCTATCCATCAACTAACTTAAATACTTACATCGAATAAACGGTAGGTGTTTACGTGAAGCTGTTTCTTATGCGAATACAAATTTATTTGTTAAGTTTTATCTGCCAGGGTTATGAAAGTGTTTAGCTGGGTAGCATCTCAAGTTGACCTTTCCAGGCTCTGAAGAAGGCGAAACCGCCGAAATGTCAGCTATTGTATCCTTATACAACATTCGATGATTTTCGTGGATGACAAATTCAAGGCAAAGAAAAGAGAAGAACCGAAGGAAAGAAGTGTTAGAATCCACGCAGTATAGGAAGTAGGATTATACAGTCAGTTGAAAGACTACAAAAAAAATCACAAAGTTAGCTCACCAATAGACTAAGGCCTTGCATAGTTGGAAATGGTAGAAGCGCTGGTTTATTAACCACATTAGCAACTAAAAATTACTAACAAATAGTCGGACGATAGCATAAATTAAAGACATAGTTTTACTAAAACTATACAAAAAAGGGTCAAGCATGTGACAAAAATTGCTAGGTACCCTAATAATATAAACAAGCTTCATAACAGGTTGACTGACCTTTTCCGTGAAACGATATGGATTTGGTACAGTCGTAGAACAGTGTGAAAATCGAAATTGACTATGAAAAGTGTGTTGCACGAACTGAAAAGAACAAGCAACAAGTGCAAAGCAAAAGACCAAGGTGTAACTATATTTCAATATGAATCAGAGAGTTTATACGAATTTGATGCTTGCGAACATGTGTAGACGCCGTGGGAGTCGTGCTTGGTAAGCCGCGGAAGGATACGAGAACAACTTTTGTTTGCTCACAGTCTGTGCGGTGTACAACAACCGAAATGAACAAAGGTGTATCTGAATGCTTATGAATGACAGTATCGACTACCACCCAAACACATTCGTGAGGATGCGCAGTGATTTCAATGCATTCCTCGATGTGAATGGAACGAAAAGACAAGCATCATCCTACTCGGTCGCCCCCAAAACTGAGTAGTCGCGAATGTGTTAACGATTGGTTGGCATAGCGGAGTGGTTTCATGATGAGATAAAACTTGAAAATAGCGATCACACCCAGGAATTCCAAAAAACGGCAGCACACTGATCTAGTTCGACATGGTCTCACGAATGGAAATGTAGGAAAGCCATCATAGGTGGTCCTGGAACAAAGATGAGCCATTAATATTCATCGCATTTCTACGCGTGAAATTCCTCGGACAATATTGGAACGGTAAGCCACTGGGAGTAATCAGTACTTTCTCAGATTATTCAGCTAATAGAAGGTTAGTGTAAAAATATTTATCCGGTTAACTTCTCAACGTCTTCTTGTTCGTCAAAGCCAGGCTGATTAAGGTCCAAAGTCTTCATGTGGGTCTCATGGCGATAAGAATGTTCGTTGTCGCATCTACTCGAATTGCGTGGAGTGAAGCACCACTCGGAAAGAGTATCCATTGGGAGGAGTGTTTTGATATGAGTGAAGCTTTATATTTAAGAGGATTATGCAGTCAACGACGCACATGATTTCTGACCAATCTCTGCCACATACTTTCAACTTACAACGAGAGAGCTATCGTCGAAAGCAGCGGTCTGCAACTAGCCAAGTTTCCCCGTAGATCGGTGCTGGACACTCTTCGTCGAGAACCTTAGCTGTTGCTAAGAGCTATATTCAATACCAGTGTCGATTTGAATAAGCTCATCGATAACCTCATTCTGCAGGTGATCGTTGACTTAGGCTAACGAACGATGTTATGAGACTACAAGCAAATTCAAAGAGTTTCCTTGTTGCAACTTTCCAATGAAAATAGTTTTACTTTCGCAACGCGTGTATGTGGAATACAAACTTCGCTGGGTTCAAAATTTAACTCAAGGCCTTAAAACTTAGGTTCAGGTGCTGTACAAAGCTCCAGAAAATATTTGAGAGGTGACGACGTTTTGAAATTAAAATGCTAACTCACTGGCCTTCTCTTCTTCCCTAATCTTCATAAAAGTTTTTGTTCTAGAATAACATTACAATGAAATCAATTGTTTGTTTCACAGGTTCATAACGATGTGCTTTAGTTTGAGTGCATGCGTTCGTAGGAATTTTGGTTAATATACAATAATTAAGGGCGCGCGTGGCGCAGTGGTTGGAGGTGCCACTGCGACACACACGTGGAGTCGATCCCAGCTCCCATGACTCACCAAGCCTTCCTTCCCTCCGAGGTCGGCAAATTGGTACCAGACTTTTCTGGAAGGATAGCAGCATTGGCTCAATACATCGGTAGGCTGCGACGAGTCATTGTAAAGGCCAGATATGCATTCAATCACCTCCAACGATACCTAATGAAGTCGAATGCATGGTGCATCCCTTAGAAATTGAACAACGCACAGATTTCTTCTGTTCCCAGTAAAGTCTGACAAAGGTTGTTTTTTCTACGTTACAATTGAAAAAATAAATCGGTTATTGGGACGACTTTCCTCGTCCAGTGAATCTCATGACGATACCCAAGCTTGCAGATTGAAAACCACGAAAATCGCTGGTGGTGAGAAAAGTAAGATACTAAATCTCTGCTGGATTGCACGCATTGAGTTAAACGCATTTTTCTCGCCGCTGATGGTTAAGTACTGCACCGTGTCGCAACGCTTTTACATGAAGATTTTTCTTAAATGAATCAGAAATACGACAGAATAACCGAGTTAAAAAAATGTGTAGGTGACTGATTGTCTGCGGATCATTTCGCGAGTTAGAAGTTGTTCTACATATCATTATATCACTTCTATGTGTTTCGAAATACATGAGCTGCTCTCCCCTCTCGTTAGTGAAGCTCATTTGGAAATGACCGGTAAGTCAGTGCACGTGCTCATAGAAGAAGCTACGGTTCGTCAAACTACTGAAATCCAAAGCATCGAAGGTGCTGAAGTCCTACTTTAAAGGATAGTAGTGTTCTTTGCACAAATTTACAGATATCTTTAAATACCAAAGCTGCTTTATTATGAGATTCTAGGAACACTGATTACGCGAAAAAACTGCTAACCTGCCGCACATTGGGACTGTCCAGTTGAGAATAAAACCATACTAATTGAAATGCTATCATTAACTACAACGTTTATATACGTAAGCAATCGACAGAGCGGTAGCATTAATTCCTACCGAATTCCGACTCGAGGATGGCGGACAAGTCCGCATTCGTGCCCGTTGAAGCCGTCACGGATAGGAAAGGTTCCGCTGAAATTGAAGCTGACATTGACGCTGAGTTATTCGGAAAAAAGGTGGTAGCAGTTTTTCACAATTATAAGATTCATAAGGCTTGCCGTCGATTTTTATCTTTAATTACAATACATGGAAATCATATTTAGAACATGGGTCCGACATTTGGTCAGAGCAACCTGTTGCTTAGGCTTCATAGATGGATTGAAACCCCGCCTTGTAACGGCCTCGTATTTTCTTATTGTCGCTTATGATTCTGATTTTTCTCCATAAAATATGAAAAAATTCACGTTCAAATTGTAGTGGTCGTCGAAGAAACCTGAACCACTCCAAATAAGAGTCTACTCTTCCAAGAGTAGTGATATCCAATGTTTGCAAATTCAGCCATCGCTCATAGATGGTCTAACTTGTTACAAAGCTAGTCGTCTAAAGGTGCAGGAATCTCGAGTTCTTCACTAAAGATGAGTGTTTTCGACTTGTAATTGCCGCGTTCCGGTTGCAGCACTCTATATTTTACAACCTATTTTTATAAATACTGGCGAGTCAACTGGTCTTCCATAGAACCGTGGTGGGAAAGCGGATTCGAGACTAGCATGTAGAGATAAAAACACTAGTTCGATTCATCCATGGCAAGTCATTGTACAGGCCAGGTATGCATTCAATCACCTCTAAACGATGTTTGATGATGCCGAATTCATAGCGTATTCCTTAGGGATTGACCAACGCCAAACGTCTCGTAAAGCTTTTAAGCTTCATGCTCATTTTGTTTATTAGCTAGAAAGGAATTCTGCCTTCGCACATTAAAAATTCGAATGAAACAGCTGTGGTAATTAATTTGTCACATTTGTGTTTTATTATGGATTTTTATCTGCTTCGCATACATAATGGAAATGTTTAACGTCAGTACAACTGGATAATGACTTAGTGCGCTTTATTCTACCTGCCATGCTTGACATTCCACATCGGCAAGACATTAACATATTTTCTCGTATTCTCTAAATTGAAAGCTATCACATCGATTGCATTTGAATACACTTCTACTGAAACTTGTAGGAGCCAGATATTCCATTGTTAGTAAATCAATTCACGATTTTCAACGGGTATCCTTAATGTGGCACATCTTAGCTCAGAATGAAACTTCTTAATCGGGAATGAAAACCGTTACTATTTACACATTTTCGCAACTAAGAACACGTTTGTGGGTTCCGTCTCCATAAAACTGGACTCCTCGACGTGAAGCGTTTCTCATATAGGAAGTTGTAGAGCTGCTCAAAGAAGTGGTAGTTAGTAGCCGAGAGGACTGGTCAGAATGGTTTATGACGCAGTTTCCTGGACCAGCTCGTTCAACCTCTGCAGCGCCGGAAGTGCAACACGTGGCTGTGCATTATCGTGACGGATCCTCCACCAATTCGTACGACATCTATTTGTCGAGTTTCTTCGCTTTTCAAGGTTTCCTTTAATATTGATAAACAGCTGAAAAGCTTGCACTGAGTCCTTTTTCAATTTTGTGAAGAGATGTGCTCACATTTGCCCCAACAAAGCCTTCAGTTCGTCGCCTTCATTTGCAGAAGCACTTCTGCGACCTATCTCATCTTGAACGTCGAATTCGTCACGAAGAAATTTTCAAAACCAACGTCACATTGTGCATTCATTAACGCTTCCTTGACTTCATAACTAACCAATGTTTCGCAACGTTTGCTTCCGAGTTTAATTCGTAGAAGTAGATTTGCCGATTTTGACATCTGAAATTCTAACCTTTGAATCTTGTCAAAAATAGACTTTTGTTATGGTTCACTTAAAGCGGGCAAAGGTGCATAAAGAAAGCATTTCGTTAATATCCAATACTTTGGCATTCGAAAAAAATTGTTGCTGCGACATTTACAAGAAAAACAAAACTACGAATCTGGGTTCATTTCTGAATCTGATGCTGAGGGTTTCTTAAGCCCTTCTTCTTCGGAATATGGACGGGATATACTTTTTTCAAGTCTATCTGTATCATCGTATCACCTACACAGTGGTGTACAGTAATAGAGTCCCGCTGTGAGTCAGGATTCTCCATCGAGCTAACGCAACAGGCTGTCGCCCGTGTTCTTCCTGACGACAACTGCTGATGCCCACGTGTTCGTTTGCGAAACGAAAACGCCCCAATATTACAAATTTGCTTATTCTTTTGTGAATGTATGTTTTACAGTCAACTATAATTTAAGGGCGATCCAAAGTCACCTGCAAAGCAAAAATCAGAAAAGTCAGTTAAAAAGGCAACACCACCACCTCCACCGCCGCCGCCTCAAGAGTCTCCGAAGCAGACTGTCGGGAAGTACCAGTACAAAAAGTCCACCACCTATCAGAAAACGTATGCGTATGCCAGAAAGTGAATAAATTTCCCGCTCAATATTTAACTTTTGACTGATCATTGTCACCTCTGAGTGAGCCTTTTTATTCAGGCGATCACTAGAATGCAGACAATAAAAATGATAAATGGGTTGATAATCCACCGTGGTTGAATGACGAAGTTTCAAGAGATCGTTGTCGAGGAAAGCTCATAAATTTCATCATTTTCCTATTGTTTAACAACACCATATCTACTAAGGTGATGAATTTGCCAATGATCGCATAATTGCCACATGCAAGCCATTTCACCATTGTTGCAAAATAGACCTAGATTTGATACTGCGGATCAAATTATGCAAGCAGAGTTTTTGACATCACCATTCACTAAAATCATTTGATACTGGATGAAGATACTTCTTTCCACAGATGCTTATTGGCTAACTTATCACCGACAGTGATAAGCCGTTGTCACACTGTATGTACTCGAAGCCGCTAGTGGTCAGAGAATCGGTTGTGTCATGTCGCAGCCAGAGCATGCTTTGCATTCTATTTTTCCCTGAGTGAAAACATTCGACGAGATAACGATATGGTTTTGTGACCAACAGTGTCTAAATAAAATTACGTCTGTCAAGAAAAAAGCGTCATACAAAATAATGAGCGGTGCGACATGAGTCATATATGACTCACAGTGCCATCGGCGACAAATCGGGAATTTTCCCATGTCGCAAGCATCTAGCATTAGACATGAACGCATCGTCCACATGCAATTATTAAAACATGATTTAGGAAATGATGGGAAACTTGACTCGGTGCATGTGTGTCGGCTGAGTTTTCAGGATTTTCTTTCGTTGTGAGTATCGAAAACTTAGGTTCAAAACTAGCTATCAACGCAACGGCTTTAACATTTTTCTGCTAATAGCTTTTCAAATCACAGTCATCTTTACGAGTGATGAAAAAAGCGAACATAGAGGTAAGCGAGATTCACGGAATCGTGTAAACCACTATACAAGTGTGAACTGACGACAGCAACTTAGTATAATACAGAGTGCAACGTTACCAGGTTCCACCGCCGGCCGGGCATTAAAGTCACATAGTGGCAAATCTCCCTCCGATCCACAAAGATTGCTACTACCTGTGGTGGTGACGACCTGTGTCAGACTTCGGCCAGGCTGACCTTTGAACTCCATGAAACCATAATGACTTAGACAGCAAATAAATTTTTGTTCGTTCTATGGTAAGGGGCGTCAGTTTGTATTGTAAAATATGTCCTTCATACGTTGTGTGAAGCTTTGAAAAACATTGTTTAAAAAATCGCCGAAAGTTGTTTCTATGAAAACTACATGCTCATTAAACGTGTGCATCTAATATGATGCAAACCGTCCATTTCGGAAAGACTTTGTTTCACAGCACTTAATCCATTGTGTTGTGCTGCTCATGGAATTCTAAAATGTTAAGCATGATTGAAAACATTTTTGACCACACTTCACTAGATATATAAATGTTGATTTCATCGAGTAATTCTTAAACAAACTAGACATCGAGTGAAACACATTTCAGACAGACACCAACGTTTTCCGATGAGTGCCGATACCTCGGCTGGTTTTTAGGGCTAAAACTAATCTATTGACTAGAAATTTGTGAATTTACTAAAGTGAAAAAAGCGCTGAATCGAGATTTTCCAGTTGGTTACTTTTAAATTGATGAAAACCAAGCGGTAGAGCGGAGACTGCTACCGCTCACCAGTGTACGGCCATGCAACTCCTCAAGCTGATTTTTCGATGGCCGACAATGACTTCAAGATCGCTAGAGGATTTTAGAAGTTGAGAGCTTTGTAGATGCATGCAGGAGACTTGTTTTATCAAACGCATATATGATTTTTGTACAGTGTACTTTCAAATTTAAATATATTTAGCCTAAAAATGTGAACGAATCGATAATGAAATTTAAACCTTTAGAGGTTCCAAATGAAGAGCAGCAGATGCAAAGGAAATTGATGGATCAGGGAAGAATATCGTGTCCTGCAGGATGAAATTCCGACTAAACAGTTGCTTTCGCTTTTGAAATACGCGCCTTGAGCATTAGAGGGGAGGAAGCTTTTGTCGTAGGATACGGAACACCAGTATTTCATTATTACAGGGCAAGCAAACGTTTGTAAAGTCTGTAAGCTCTAGTAGTTCTTATTCCCATCAAAATCCAATATAAGTTGAGATATGTTGGCTTAGAGTTCAATGTGACTATTATTTTGTCATCAAGGCATTGTATACACTGCAAGACGTTATGTGTTAAACGCTGTCCTATCGAAAAAACTGATAGGAATCGTCGCATCAGCTAGTCATCAGATTTACTATTACCCTCTATGAAGATGTTTTGATGGCTGGATTGCGTGTGTCTTCGCTGTCGCATCCGTTATGAGTTAGCGTGATCGATTGAGGCCGATGTCGTGCTATGTACGTGTATCAACTTCGGCATCTATCTTAACTTACATTTCATGTGACGAAAGCCATTTATTCTGACACAGGTTAAAAGTTTTTGTCAAATCTTGTCCTTGCAGAATATTTGTCATTGTAGTAAAGAGACTGTTCCTTACTATGCACGTATAATGCCAGGACACTCCACCGACGCCGATCTCAACGCCCTTCTTGTACCCGCAGTTCGCAATTTTCATGTGATCGCATTACAAGAAACAAAAATCAAGAAGACCGACATACGCCAACTAAACAACGGGACCCTTGCCATCCGCGGAGAAAAGGTCTCGTCACGAAATGCTCGGTGGCGCAGACTTTGTCGTGCACCCGTCCATTGTCCATCTCGTCTACTCATACGTGATCCTTTCCCCTCGCATAGCCGTCCTCCGTCTTCCACTGTCGCATCATAAGAGGATCACTATCATCAACTGCTACTCACCGAGCGACGCAGCTGATGAGTACGAATTAAATGCGTTCTACTATCAGTTGGAGGAAGTCATCCGCAATGATAAAGCATATCATAAATTTGTTGTTGGAGACTTCAACGCCAGAATAGGAAAGGCTAACGAGAGCTAATACAGGATTGGAAATTTTGGATTAGGAAAAAGAAATGAGAATAGGAACCGTCTCGCAGGTCTGCTGTCAGCAGCACGTCTCCTCCGTGGAAAAGCAGAAGAAAGAAAGGCGCCGCTCGGCATGGGAGTCTCCCAACGGCATGACTCATGTGGAGATCGACCATATTCTGACAAACAGAAGATGGTGTCTACTTGACACATCGGTAGTCCCGTCATTCTGTACTGGTTTCCGATCACCGCCTTGTTCGCACGAAGATTCGATTCAGCCGCAAGCTGGAAAGGAACTCTCTTCATCGACCACGAGAAAAAAGTCTAGCTGTATACGACGAGAGCGTTCTGAACGAAGTCCTGTCTAAAGGTGACTGGCAGATTAAAGAAGACCTGACCGAAGACTGCAAGCTGTTCGTCGAAGGATTGAAAAGGCTGTGCCGAATTCGCCTCAGTTCCTTAAGCAAAAAGATCGGATCGCATTTCCATCACTACTAAGGAATTGCTCGAAAAGAGAAGGAAACTGAAGCTTTATCCTACTGCAACTCGTTTAACATGGCTACTAATAAATGCCAGCTGAAGAAGAGCTTTGCAGGTAGATCTGCAACGATACAAGCAGAAGAAAATACTGGAAGCAGCAGAGAAGAGAAGCAGTCTGAAAAAATGCCGTCGGGACTTGTGTGATTATAATGTTTCGCTGTCAGCCCTGATGAACGAAGATGGGATCGTCAAAACTTTCCGCCATGACATGGAATTAATATCGGAAACGTTCTACACCTACCTTTTCCGTTCCACAATCCCCACCCTGGCCCCTAATATCCTCGATGGAGAAAAACCACCTGGAATTCTTCCTTCGGAGGCTCGAGTTGCGATAGAATGCATGAAAAGAGGTACAGCTCCAGGACCCGATAATATCACTGCCGATTTCCATAGAGCTGGAGGCCACAATTTACATATACTTCTCGCAGATCATATGGCAGGCTTCCTTCAAAAGAAAAAAATTCCAGAACAGTGGAGGACGTGGAGGAAAACACGGTCATCCTGCCCAAGAAGGGATACCGAAGGGATCTTCATAACTATCGTTCCATATGCTTGTTAAGCGTACTCTACAAGCTCTTCACGAAAATTAACCTCACGTCCATATCAAGGACATTGGATGAGGCGCAGTCAGTCGAGCAAGCAGGATTTCGAAAAGGATTTTGCTGCATGGACTACATCTACACCGAGTCCAGGGTCATCGAAGCTTGTCGGGAACACCACTTGGCTTTAGTCCTAACCTTTGTCGACTATGAGAAAGCGTTTGGCAGTGTCGAAACGAATGCAATCCTACCAGCGCTTGTCGACCAAGAAGTGGACCCGTCCTACATAAGAACTCTGTCCGACATTTATCGGAGCTGCACTACGAAAATACAGCTTTTTCATCGACCTCTTACCATACCCTTACCATAGCATACTTTTCCTATGCAAAGGGGTTAGACAGGGCGACACAGCTGGTCAGTGCGGCACTGCAGTGCATAACGAAGTCACTCGATTAGGATGAGAAAGGTATCCGTATTGATAGAAAATTCCTATCAAACCTTCGCTTTGCCGATGACATTGTCATCTTTCAAAAAGTACTAGCGAAGCAGAGGTGATGATCAACGAGCTCAACGAAGCGGCGGGAAGGATCGGATTCCGCATAAATCTAAAGAAGACCCAGTTCATGAAAAACTCATGGTGCGAAGGCGAAAAATTGAATTGGTTGGTTCTCTCATTGCAGAGGCCACCTCGTACGTATATACCTTAGACGATCAATGAACATGGAAAAGAACATGAAGGAGGAGTTAGATAGAAGAAGGAGAGCAGCTTAGGCCGCATTCGGGCCTCTCAAAGAAGCCACCGACCAACTGAAGGATCCGAAAATCAGCGCTCATCTCTTTGAATCAACGGTCCTCCCAGCGCTCTGTTATGCTGCAGAGACGTGGGTTGATACTTCAACTACGTCAAGAATGCTTCCCACTACTCACACTTGAGCGA